TGTAGCTGCCCAAATAACAAAACTTATCCACCTGTTCTATTACTTCCCCAGTTAGAGTGAGGCTGGGTGCTGGACCAACCCAGTCTTGTAGTAACATTTTACACTTTGAAGGTGCAAAACGTATACCGAATATGGCTAAGCTGGCATTCAAGTTATCGAGAAATGCTTGCGACTCACCTGGATATATCACCACTGAATGCTACGTTTAGTGTGTATCTGTCAGCCTCGGTTATTCCATTTGATAAGCATCATTTTTCTCATGGTACAATTTCGTTGCAGAGTAACAAAAATGTGGAACTTACGACCACGTTGCGGCAAGAACAACACGCGCAAAAGGAACGGGATCAAGCCGAGGTGGACTATCGAGCGCAACTGGAACAGCTTCAAATCAAGGTCAGTCCGGTCCGCTTACATGTTTTTTATTCCCTTTTCGAATAAAATATAAAATAAAATATCTCAATCCCCTCCTATCCTGTGATATGATTCAATAAGACTGAGCACTTGAGACAGATTTAATGTGTGCGTTCCGTGTAGCCATCTTCATTTCTTTCTTTGTTGTAAAGGTTTAAGCAATCCTGAACAAAACTAGTAGTTTCCGTACTGAGTGTTTCTTTCAACGTCCAACCTCTTGAATATTATTAGTGGTTTTGTGATGAAAATGTTAGAGATTGAGTGAGAAGGCAGATCAATGTCAATAAGGTTGTGTCTTTTATAATAACCATCGGTTTTTCACAGTCTTGAGGTCTTGAGGTACACGCTCCCTCTAATCCCATTCCAATTTTTTGATTAGTATGTACAACTGGAAGCCGAGTATCGAACACTACAAATCACTCGCGATTCGCACGGACACAGTGATCACCTTGAGCACTCAACTAGCGTGGATCCCGGGGTTGAATTGAACACCGGACAGGCCACCGACCAAAGTCTGTGTGACACACATACGGAACAGTTAGAGGCGCTGATGCAAGAACTACAAGCCAATCACGTGAGTTAGGCTGCTTTTTGTAATGTTTCGTTTGTCTCTGAGCATGCGCAAACGGGTCACTTAAACACCGATAGCTCTTCAGTCGCTCTGTGTGTGTCTGTTCTCCTGTGCATACTGTATCATTTTGCCTGTTCTAGGTTGATGTTCAGATCCCAGTATGTTGAATGTGGAACACTGTAGGTTCGGCTAA